TTCAGTTCATGTTTTAACAGTCAGTTCTGGTATTAGAGAAAGTGCCAAATCTGTATGAGCTGCATGTGTTCAGTTGCTGCAAAAGAGAGAAACGTGTAGAAGCTAGCTCGCAGTTTCCAATGATGATGAGGAATCCAAGTTTGTTTGAACTGTATGCTGAAATGATATATTTTTAAAGAAATTATTCTAAATTATGTGACTATTTCCACTCTGTTTAAACTTTATTAATGTTGATAGAAACAATGATTTTCTTATTAAATCTTTGCTTGAATCTAATGCTCAAAACCAACAGTGCAGGCCCATTAAACCCAGTAATGGTTCAATTTTAGTGTCATGGTTCTGTTCCAGAGGTTAAGGTTTTAGTCACACAATCCTGAGGATCCATCCTGATGGGTCTGAGCATGTTTGCATGTGTGCATGTGTGCATGTGCAGTCTGTAGGACTAATGTCAAGGTTAGGAAGGAGAGTCTCATTTCTGACAGGAAGTGCCACCTCTGGCAACAGCACGATGAAAACATATGTTAGATCATACAGATGTTGTGAGTCTTACATCTGTGACACACGTTGGTTAAAATACAACAGGTATAAAATCGATTGTTTTTATTTTAACTCCTATTCTTTACTTTGTGGTAAAATGAGCCCCGACTGTTGTTGAATGAACAGCTTTTCCCATTTTAGTTTTGTTTTTGGTGTTGATGAGCAGCTCGTGCAGTCAGCTGCCATTCAGTCAGGAGCTGTTTCCTCTCGGGGTCTGAACCCCTAAGACAGCTGCAATGACATCACATGGGTATTTTTGTACTGGGGATTCAGAAATATCTGCAGAAAGATGTAAAATAAATAAATAAATAAATTGGATAGTTGAAGAATTAATGAAGATTGTTTTTCCTTAAATGTCGTCAGAAGAACATTAATATATTCTCAGTATATACAGCCAGTTTATTCTAGATATTTGCATGTCTGGTCAATGTTTGACAAGCCTGAACTTCCATTATCTTTACCCGCTTATTCCATTTTGTGTCACGGGGGTCGCTGGTGCCCATGTCACTGTGCGAGGGGCGGGGTACACCCTGGATGGGTCGCAAGTCCATCACAGGGACACATAGAGACAAACGAGACAAACAACCATTCACTCTCTCACTCACACCTAGGGGCAATTTAGAGTTACCAATCAGCCTAACATGCATGTTTTTGGTCTGTGGGAGGACACCGGAGCACCCGGAGAAAACCCACGCATGCACGGAGAGAACATGCAAACTCCACCCAGAAAGGCCCCTGGACCGGGGTTTGAACCAAGGACCTTCTCGCTGAGAGGCAGCAGCTCTACCAGTTGCGCCACCGTGATGCCCCAAGCCTGAACTTCAAGTTCACTATTTTTTTAAGAACAGTATGCTGATGAGGAGTGGAGACAAACTGAATGTTTAATTATAATTACATTTTAAATTATTTTTATCAGGATGTTTAACCAGTGAAATGGATCTTATGATGAAAATTTTAATACACAATAATTATTGAGATGTGACCTGGAAATCTTTGCCTTGAGTTAAAATTGTTGGACTTTGGGTCATTTAAATCAATAAAATGCATGTTTGCTCAACTGTCATAAAATCTTGTTCCGAGTAGTTCTGTTTTATTTGTACAGCTTGAAGAAACTGATTCCCACCAAAACATGGCTGTGGTGAATTTCATTCATGGCTCCAAGGGCACGACAGAACAATAATATCTCCCAAACAATACAAAACCTTTTCTTTTGGCCCAAGCCACAGACCACACGGAGCAATTTGTATTGGAAGAGCTCTCTGTTAAAAAAGGGGGGTCCCAGTGAGAAGAGCCCACAGTGAATGCTTAAAATCTACATCTTAAAATTACCTTTACTCTTATAAAATATATAACATAGGAATTTAACATTCAAACACTCAAAAGAGTATATTACATAGCATGTTTGTGAGCTGAGTTTTTATTTTTTCAGAGGGATTTTTCTGTTTGTGCTTTCAAACTGTAGTTAAAAAAAACCACAAATATTATTCAAAGATTAATTAAAAAAATAGATCAATACAATTTTTACAAAGGCTTGACACTGTATTTATTAGCACAGACACATCTTTGAATCTGAATTTAGCCTAGGATAAATTATGAAGTATATTGTGACAAAAAAAACAAAACAAATGCAAATAAATAAAAATGGATTATAACAAATAAATAAAGCAAGCCAGCTCCGGGTAATGACACATGACGTGTTGAGTAGATGTGGGAAAACACATATTTAAGATTTTTGCCGTTAAATTTTATTTTTGAATTAAATAAAAAAAATGTACAAGGTACATCACAGAAGTATTTTATTACAAAAGAACTTGGAACATGCAAACACCCCTAATAGATCTGAACATACAAGAAAATATTCAAATGTAACTTGAATAAAAATACTTTGGACGAATTTGTATTGTGCAGAAAATACTTGATGTTTATTCCCAAAATGAAGCATTTTTGTTAGACTTAAAAAGAATGTTCATTGTTTTTAAAGTAGGATTTTCCAGAAAGATTATGAGTAATTAATAACTTTCCTTTATGAGACAGCTCTTTGAATCGCCTCAGTTTGAAGAAAATAATTTAATTCTGACCAAATTTTTGGTCTTACGATGTTGTTTTACTATATTAATATTGTTTAGCGTATACACTAGATCCTTGTATACTTTTTTATAATACTTTATATTTTTGCGTGTAACTGGGACCTTGCGAACACAATTTCATTCCACCTCATGTATCACATGTGATGCAAATGACAATAAAGAACCTTGGACCTTGAAGTCAAAGGCCAAAGTGGATACTTTCCATCCTAAAACAATACACATCACTGGGAAGGATGACGGCATTTGCATTAACCCTAAGAAACGTTTTGGCACTGAAGTGTTTTAAACATGGCCAAAATCCAATTTGAGTTTGGCCTCATTTGGACTAGCATTTTAGCGCGTCCATTCAATTAAAATTGAGCTTTATTCACTCCAAACTGTGGAAATTTAAAGCTCTATCAAGAAAGAAACAAGACAAGAAAGATATTACTGGTACTTGTTTCTAATCGTTTTACAAAACTCAGCTTCAAAAGTTATGAATGATCACTTTAAACAAAATGCCCTTTTATTAGGTACAAGCTTTACAAATTGCACTGCTGTTGTTTTTATTTATTTATTTGTTTATTTATGTATTTAATTAATGTTGCTGCATTACAGTGTTTGTACTTTGTTTATCATTTGCAGAGTAATGTTTTACATGTTTGCACATTGTTTCTACCTACAGCTCATGCAGTGTTTGTATACACATCATACTTCTTAGTCTGGAACATTTTATCATGTATTTTTCCTTTAGTTACCAGAAGGATGAGATAATGTTCCTTTTGAGGTGGGATATTTTTTCTCGCACTAGCAACAAGCAGCAGCTCAATTTGAAGGGATTATATACGTCCCCATACAGCTTTAAACCAGAGTACATCACACGTAACTTATTATCAAGCACTTTAAAGTGTATCAAATCTCAAAAAGATGCTGTGAAATCACATCCACATCTACTGAGGTGTAATATCTCCCCCTTCTATCAAAACCCTCTCCAATATCAAAGCTCATATTAGGCGTGAACAACCAGAGAATCCAGATATTTTTCTAAAGCAAAAGAGTAAAGAGGAAAAAAAATCACTTTGTTAATTATTGGCTGTCACAAGATCCAGAGTGGATGCACAGTGATTATAGATGACACATAAATTGCTGTGTAATTTCAGACGGGCATTTTTGTTTGAAGCAGGTCTCCTCTTGTACAGCCAGACAAATAATTTTCAAATGGAAGTCAAGGCCAGAGTGATTGCATGCCATTGTTGCACCATTTGATATGCCAAGGGCATATAAATGGTCCGGGCCACATACAGAACAGCAGATCAAACACCTTCTAAGGTTTCAGGAGGACATGGTGTAACACAAAACAAGCTCGTGGAAAAGACCCAAGTCACTGGAAGTTCACAACTCTCAGAAGTCTTCATGAATCATTCTCAATCTAAATGTTGAAAGCTGATTTTATGTGTCAAATCATTTCAGCCATTCTCTCCAGTGACTCTGTTGTTAAAAACAGGAATATTTGTTGGATCAGCACAATATCTGACATTTCTGACGTTCACTCATTGCTCAAGTGTGCCCTTACTCTGTCCGCAAGCAAGCTTCATCAAGTCCCTGTCTTTGATTTGTACTCGAACAGCTGCTGAAGTGGTATACATACCAAACAGGCCTGAAACACATGTAACGTTACAGACTGATCTCTTCTGTTCTCTGCAGATACAACCTAATGATCTCTGAACGTGATTCATAGGGTGTGTTTGGAGGAGGAACTGTGGATTATAGTTAAAGCAGCAAACGCCATGTGGCAGCACGACGTCTCAGTGGTTAGCGCTGTTGCCTCACAGCAAGAAGGTCCTGGGTTCAATCCCCAGTTGGACCTGGGGTCTTTCTGTATGGAGTTTGCATGTTCTTCTCGTGCTTGCGTGGGTTTGGTCTGGGTATCCAGTTTCCTCCCACAGACCAAAAACATGCATGTTAGGCTGCTTTCAGGTCCAGGCCTCCCTTGCAAAAGAGATCTGTGATCTCAATGGGATTTGCCTGGTTAAATAAAGGTTAATAAAATAAAATCCAGCAGCTGGTGGTCTCTGTGTTGTCAGGGACCCCCTCATAACACTCATGTTTATTAAATTTGTCTCTTTAATGCAATGGAAATATTTGTGTAACACAAATACTTCAGACTTGTTTGTTAATAGTGTTAATACAATTTTTATACTTTTAAACATGGGATATTTTTCCATTCAAGACACACTTGATTAACAAAAATCTTAATTTCAACTTCCA